TCTGCTAAGGGGGATTCAGTCTGGGTCGGTACTGAAGGGATACTGGGAGTGGAAAGCGTTCTAACGGGTATGCTGGCAGTGTCTGCCAGTGCTTTGCATCTTTCTGCTGGACAAGGCTGACTTCCTGTGGGAAAATAGCAGGAGATTAGAGTGGAATAATGGGTTGGGGCAACTTGGGGGATGCCTTGAATGCTAGGCAAGAGCAGCCCCTTAGGCTTGGAGTCAGATGCCCCTGGTGATGGGGGCTCCATTTCTGAGGCATGGGTCCTGTGCTTCAAGGTGGCAGCTGGTGACAGAGCAGAGGGGAAAGGCATTATGGGAAAAAGCCCAGTATGCCTTGGTGGTTAACTGGGTGTGCAGGAGAAGTCGCACAGTTCTGAGAGGACTTGCTGCTCACACAGGTAGGAAATAAAGAGTAGTTGGAGAGTGGGGAGGATGGAGGATGGTGCAGGAAATCCCCTTGGCTGTTTCCTGTTGCTGAGTGACAATCTGTCAGAGTTTAACAGCTGGGATGGCAAACAGGTATCACCTCACACACTTTCCCAGAGATAGGATTCCACGAGCAGTTTAGCTGGATAACCCTGGCGTGGGTTCTCCTAGGGGGTTCAGGTCACGGTGTAGGGTAGGGCTACAGTCGCCCAGGCTGGAGAAGCTTGCTCACATAGCTGTTGCCTGGGGGCAGGACACCGTAGCAAGGACAGCTAGCGTGTCCTCACAGCATGACAGCTCCCTTCTGCAGGGCAGTGACCTCGGACTCCTGCCCTGTGTGCCACCGTGTCCTGGAAGCCACACGCATCTCTGTTGCTGCTTCAGGTTATTTCCTAGGACTGAATCATGAATCTACTGTGTTCAAGAAGAGAGGGCTGGGCTGCAACTTGTGGAAGAAGGAGTGTGTGTGTGTGTGTGTGTGTGTGTGTGTGTGTGTACACACAGTATAGACGTGTGTGCATATATATTCATTTGAGAATATGTCCAAGAATACATGTATGTGTGTATAGTATTTCAATGACCAATGAAATAACTCATTCAAGTAAAAACAGGAAGGAATCAGTAGACCGGGGAGCAGGTGACGTGGAGCTGAAAATAGTGAAAATGGGGAACTTCTCGGGAGTTTCCTTGATGATCTCGCCTAACGAATCTCATGATCATGGTCACTATTTCCAGATTCTGTTATTCCTGTTATTTCTGAAAGGTTTCCATTTTTTTAAAAAGATTTATTTTATTTTTATTGGAAAGGCAGATATACAGAGAGGAGAGACAGAGAGGAAGATCTTCCGTCCCATGATTCACTCCCCAAGTGAGCGCAACGGCCGACGCTATGCCGATCCGAAGCCAGGAGCCTCTTCCAGGTCTCCCACGCGGGTGCAGGGTCCCAAGGCTTTGGGCCGTCCTCGACTGCTTTCCCAGGCCACAAGCAGGGAACTGGAAGGGAAGCGGGGCCGCCGGGATTAGAACCGGTGCCCATATGGGATCCCAGGTGTGCAAGGCGAGGACCTTAACCACTGCACCACCACGCCAGGCCCAAGGTTTCCATTTTTAATCTCTTACATGATTTTGTGATTTTTATTCTCTAAAGTTTTTAATGAAAAAGTTCAAATGTGCAGAAAAATTACAAGACTAATGAATGTGCAAGTGCCCCCCCCCCCGCCCCAGATCCAGTAATGATGAACATTTGAACTTGACGGCTTTATCTATAGTTTTTCTTTTTCTTCTTCTTTTTTGGAATCACTTATTAGGTGGTGTTCCTCTCCAGACAGAACAGTTTCTCCTTGACCTTGGGGTAAAATACAGATTCTCTTGACAGGCAGGTATGGGCTTAGTTCTTGTGCCTGAATTACCAATTTTCCGAATGAGGAGCTGATTTCATGATTACTTGCTGTGCTCGCAAATGATTCTTTTATTCTGTTCTTTTTTTGTGCCTGTCGCTGTGTAGTCAGTGGGCAGAGAGTGAAAGCATACGGGATTTTGCTCCCTCTTACCCAGTGGCCGTGGAGGCTCTAGGTTTGCACTCCCATGTGTCCTGCTGGGGGAGAGTCCCTGCTTCTTTGCAGCCTTACCAAAATGTCACTATTAAACACTTGATTTTTGGCCAAACACAAGAAAGCAATGAGATGTGGGCTTAATTTGTATGAATGAGATTAACTTTTTTTTTTTGTTAAGGGCTATATACCTTTCTTATCTATATATATTTTTCCTGTTATTCTAATGAATTTCTGTCCTTTCAAAAATCAGTCTAGGGCCCAGTGCAGTGGCCTTGCACCTAAAGTCCTTGCCTTGAACGCACCGGGATCCCATATGGGTGCTAATTCTAATTCGGGTAGCCCCGCTTCCCAACCAGCTCCCTGCTTCCCAACCAGCTCCCTGCTTGTGGCCTGGGAAAGCAGTCGAGGACAGCCCAAAGCCTTGGGACCCTGCACCCACGTGGGAGACCTGGAGGAAGTTCCTGGCTCCTGGCTTCGGATCGGCATAGCACTGGCCATGGCGGTTACTTGGGGACAGAAGATTAGACAGAAGAACTTCCTCTCTGTCTCTCCTCCTTTCTGTACATCTTAATTTATTAAATTTTATTGCAAAGCCAGTGTGTTCAAGGCTCGGTCTTTAGCTGCTAGGCCATGGTGCTGGGCCCTAAATAAATCCTAAAAAAAAAATTAGTCTAGGTGTCTTTGCTATATATTATGGAAAATATCCCATAAATTTTCTTTTTTTATATGTAAATATATTAAGTTAATCTTTTAAAAAAGTTTTTTTTCTTTAATTTTTTATTTGAAATCAGATCTACGGAGAGGAGGAGGAGAAGGAGAGAGAGAGAGAGAGAGAGAGAGAGAGAGAAAGAAAAAGAAAAAGAAAAAGATCTTCTGTCCACTACCTTCATCCCCAAGTGGCCATAATGGCTGGAGCTGAGCCAATCTGAAGCCAGGAGCCAGGAGCTTCTTCCTGGTCTCTCACGTGGGTACAGGGCCCCAAGGCCTGGGCCATCTTCTACTGCTTTCCCAGGCCAAAAGCAGGGAGCTGGATGGGAAATGGAGCAGCATCCTTATGGGATCCCAGTGCATGGCGGGGGCGGGGGTGTGTGTGTGTGGATTCAGCTACTGGGCCACTGCGCTGGGCCCAGCTCCTTGTTTCTAATATAAATTAAGAATTTTTCCCCCCAGTTTTCATTGGGCTGCAATCTGAACAGGTGACTGGGATGGTTATTTCTGTGCCGAGGTGGGAAGTTCCCTGGGAGACCTTGTTCTGGCCCCATGGCTGGGCCAGGCTTGCTGCTGCATTCTTACACCCAAGCTGACAACCATTCGAGGACCTAGAAATGATGGAAGTCTCTTTCTCCATGGCGTCCTTTTAGTACGCTCTACTGAAAAGGCTCAACATTAAACTCACTTTTTCCACCCTCTGAGGAATTCTGTGGTTTATCATAGAACATATTTTGGAGAGTCTATTTAAAATTGGAAGGCAGGAGCTGGTGTTGTGTTGCATGCTAAGCCTCCACCTGCAAGACCAAATTTCCATATGGGCGTCAGTTCAAGTCCAGGCTGTTCTACTTCGATTCACTTGCCTTACAATACCTGGAAAAGTAGCAGTAAATGGCCCAAGGTGCTTGGGCCCCTGTATCCTCGGGGCAGACCTGGAAGAAACTCTAGGCTCTTTGCTTTGCCCTGTTTCAGTCTTAGCAGTTGTGACAATTTGGGGAGTGAACCAGTGGGTGGAAAATTCTGTCTTCTCCTCTTTGTGTAACTGTACCGTTCAATCAAATAAAAAATAAATCTTAGAATAAAATCAAAAGGCAATGGAACAATAAGTAACAGCTGCATTGGTCAGTCTTTCCATGTGTTAATGCTCATTTTGAAAATTTAGAGATCTAGAGTGTATTTGAATATCTGTTAATTCAAGCATTATTTATGATCTTCTCTTTTAGAGTTATTTTTGCTTTTTCCATAAGATTTTTTTTTTGTTTGTCTTGTCCTTCAAGTAACACTTGCTAGTTTTATTTACCATTAAGGTACTTTTTAAAGATTTATTTTCTATTTTTAAAATTGTTTTGATGGCTTTTTAAAAAGATTGATTTTTTTTTATTGGAAAATCAGATATATAGAGAGAAGGAGAGACAGAGAGGAAGGTTATCCATCTGTTGATTCACTCCCCAAGTGGCTGCAATGGTCAGAGCTGTGTTGATCTAAAGCCAGGAGCACAGAGCTTCTTCTGGGTCTCCCATGTGGGTGCAGGGTGCCAAGGCTTTGGGCCGTTCTGGACTACCTTCCCAGACCACAAGTTGGAAGCTGGACGACTCGGATTAGAATTGGTGTTGATATGGGATCCCAGCATATGTAAGCTGAGGATTTAGCCGCTAGGCTACTGTGCTGAGCCCGACATTAAGGGTTTTTGAGAGGCATAGATACGAGACCAAGAGAAATCCCCATGCAATGGTTCTGTTTCCGCGTGTGCCGAAGCACGGAGCCAAGAAAACGGTGCAGATCTCCACGAGGGTCGCAGGGCCCTGACTACCTGTGCTGCCGCTGGCTGCATCCCGGAGTGTGTATCAGCAGGAAGCTGGAAATGGAGTGGAGCTGCGATGCTGACCAGGACCTCACAGACGGGAGGCTAGTGTCCTGACACCACTTAGGCTTAGCCGTCAGGCTGAACGCCCACTCCTAACCTTGAGCTGTTTAAAATACTGTAATTCCTGTGGTTAGAAGATTCTTGTGGTTAATAGCAACCACAGAAACAATCAAGAAATGTAGTAGGAAATGAGCATTCCATGCCTCGCATTCCCACCTCTCAGTTAACATTTTTGTACCTGTCTTTCAGGATGTATTTGTAATCCTATTGAAATGTGTGGATGTTTAAACATGAAGCAGCTTAAACATTCTTCAGCTGTTACACCTGTCACTGTAAGTTAACAATGTCTTTTGCTTTTCTTTCCAGCTTTCCTGCCCACCCACGAGCCTTTGAAGATCTTGTTTGCTGCTTTGCGCCCGCCTCTCATCAGGAGCTTGTCGCTGCTCCTCCTTCAAGACATGGATATCAAAAACTCGCCGTCCAGCCTCCGCTCTGCTGCCTCCTCTCACTGTAGTCAGCCTGGCTTGCCCCTGGAGCACGGGCCCATCTACTTGCCTTCCTCCTACGTGGAGAGCTGCCATGAGTACTCGGCTATGACCTTCTATAGCCCTGCCGTGATGAATTACAGCGTTCCCAGCAGCACTGGGAATATGGAAAGTGGGCCCAGGCGACAGACCCCAAGTCCAAATGTACTGTGGCCAACTCCGAGCCACCTGGCTCCCTTGGCCATCCGATGTCCGTCGTCGCTTCTGTATGCAGAGCCTCAGAAGGCCTCTTGGTGTGAAGCCCGGTCGTTGGAGCCCACGTTACCCACGAGCAGGTAAAGCCCGCCTTCGTTCTGAATTATAGTTTGGGGCTGTTCGGCTCACTTCCTGATCGCTGAGAAGGAAGCTGTGCGTCCAAAGCTTTCTATTTGATTCTATGAGGATCCTTCAGAAAGTTCATGGCAGATATGTATGATGACATGGTTTTCACATTTTTGATTTGATTTTGTTTGAACTTTTTGAAGTACTCTCATACTAGTCAGTAGATGACTCACCTGAAGTATAAGATACCCTGTTCTCTTCTACTGTTCTAGACCTCATTGAAAAGTTGTGGCTCAATGACTAAATCCTTAGCTTGCAAGCACCAGGATCCCATGTAGGTGCTGGTTCATGTCCAGGCTACTCTACTTCCCATCCAGCTCCCTGCCTGTGGCCTGGGAAAGCAGTCAAGGATGACCCAAAGCCTTGGGACCCTGCATTTACATAGGAGACCCAAAAGAAGCTCCTGGCTCCTGGTTTCAGATTGGCTCAGCTCTGACTGTTGCAGCCCTTTGGGAAATGAACTGGAGGATGGAAGATCTTTCTCTGTGTCTCCTCCATAAATCTGATTTGCCTTTACAATAAAAAAGAAAAATGTAGGTGAGTTGTAGGGAAAAATCACTATCATTAATACAGTCTTTGTACCATAAAGATGAAACTTTACTTTTTTCTTACGGTATGTGAGTTGAAAAATAGATTTTTTACTTTTAGGTTTCTGCCATCATATAATTTAATCACAAGGCAATATTCATGAAAAATTGTTCCCAGGATAAAAGTAACTGTGGCAGTATTAGAACTTAAAGGAAATACTAGTCATGTGAAGCTTCAAAGGACAGGGGATTGCTGCAGCTTAAATTTTTTTCTCTGAAAGGCAGAGAGAGGTCTAGCACTTACATGCTGGTTTACTATAAATGCTCGCAGTGCTAGGAGTGGGTCGGACTGAAGCTGGGAGCTGGCAGTTCTATCCAGGTCTCCCCTGTGGGTGCCAGGAACCCCTGTGGGTGCTAGGGCATGCCTGCTGCCTCCCAGGAGGCGTTAGCAGAAAGTTGGAGGCAAGAGCCGGAGCAGGGCATGGAAGCCAGGTGCCGCAAGGGGGAAGCAGGCATTCTAACGGCCAGGCTGAGTGATAAAGATTAGATTTTATAAAGATTAGTAGGAAAGCACTTAATATAGACATCTGATCAAAGTTCTTAAAGTGGACAGTAATATTTTTTTTTCTCTCCAAATGCAAGATAAGGATTGTTTCAGTTTGATTTGTGATGTTTTCGATGATCATTGTAGCTCTGAAAAGAGACTAATGAAGGAAAGAGAGAAAATTCTGAAACAATGGATGTACTTAATGAGAGCACATTGGATATTGAAATATATTACTTCTCTTTATTGAAGGGCAGAGTGTCAGGGAGTGGGGGGGAGAGAGAATGTAAGTTTTCATCTGCTGGTTCACTTCCCACATGACCACAGTGGCCAGGGCTGAGCCACGCCAAAACCAGTAGCTTCCTCTCACATTGTGGCCAACACTTGGACCATCTTCACATTGCTTCGCATTGCCAGGCCATTAGCAAGGAGCTGAGTATAGAGCAGCGGGACACAAAAACAAGCATCGTACGAGATGCCAGCATCACAGCCACTGTCCCCCAAGGCTGGCCCTATGTGGAACTCTGTTGTTGTTGTTGTCGTCCTTAAAGACTGACTTTATTGGCAAGGAAAATAGAGAAGAAAGACAAAGATTCTCTGTCCGTTGATTCACTCCCCAGTGGCTGCAGCAGCTGGAGCTAAGCCATTCCAAAGCCAGGAGCTGCTTCTGGGTTTTCTGTGTGGGTGCAGGCTCCTAAGGCTTTAGGCTGTCCTCCCCTGCCCTCCCAGGCTACAAGCAGGGAGCTCAATTGGAAGTGGAGCAGTCAGGACACGAACTGGCACCCACATGGGATCCTGGTGCATGCAAGATGAGCCACTAGGCCATTGTGCCATGCCCACCTGTGAATAACTTTATAACAGCTGTGCTTTTCATTCAGCCTTTAAAGGTAAAAGTATGTTGTTTCTGAGCATGAATTTTGATCAGAGTTCTGATATTTGGACAAATTAACCCATGTGAAAATTGCCTTCACTGACATAGCAGTTGTAGACTTTCCAAAATAACCATGTGCTGGTGACATTTGGAAGTAGCCAAGCTTGGTTTTGATGCTGGCCACATTTCCTTGCCGGGCTGGTTCCTCCATGGAGGCAGGGCTGAGCCTCTGCTTCCATGCAGGCCTTCTCAGGACAAGCAGCTGTTAGCTCGCTCTCGTCGCTTCTCCTGTTCTCTCCTCTGTTCTCCCCTGTTTTCTCCTCTGTTCCCCCCTGTTCTCTCCTGTTCTCTCCTCTTCCCTCTCCCCCTCCTGTCCCCTTGTTTTAGCCAGGGCATAGCTCATCTTGAGGTATCGTAGGTAACTTGGTCACCTCTAGACCTAGATGTGAGATTGCAGAAAGGAAGGTGTGTTTGTCTTCCGTTGAAATGGGAACCTGCAGTGCCTGAAGGGTTGTGCTGTGACACAGGTGGGAATGACTGACGTTTGCGCATGGCTGTGTGAGTTCAAACCTGTCTCTGTGGCATAATGGACCTTTCTTTAGTAACTGGGGAAGGTGGCTGCATGTTCTGCTCGTGGAGCAGACCTGTGGATAAGATTGCGTCTGGCTGCTTTGCTTACTCCACCCAGAGGCGTTCCCACTCCTGGGGCTGGAACAGGCCTCTGCAGTTAGCACTGTGGGCATCAACTCACCTCACCATTCCAGACAGAATTCACCCTTTACAGATCTGCTTTAGTAACAAAAGTTTTGTTCATTCAGATTTCATAGAATGTATGAGGGTGTGGGGTGGGGGTTCTTCAAAAAAATTTTTGAAAAAGAAGCATTAAGAAAAAATTATGCCTGGAGTTCAAGTTTTTTTTTTGACCTCAAACAATCTGTTAATTCCATCTTATCCTGAATTTTTGGAAATACCATTGTATTTGTGATGATCCCTAGAGAATAGATCAAATTAGTCTTTTTGATGCTACTCTTTTTCCCCTAGAGATTCCCATCTTTCCCTTTTTATCTTCCTTCACAATGGGTATTTTCTTGGTCCCCAGAGAGACACTGAAAAGGAAGGTTTGTGGGAACAGTTGTGGCAGTCCTGTCACCGCGAGTCCAAGTTCAAAGAAGGATGCCCACTTCTGTGCCGTCTGCAGCGACTATGCGTCAGGATACCACTACGGGGTCTGGTCATGTGAAGGATGCAAGGCCTTTTTTAAAAGAAGCATTCAAGGTACAAGAATACTGTTAACTGTGCTTCCAGTTTCCACTTCTGCTTTCCAACTGTTTTGTAGAAATTCTATCATTGTCCTCTTGGGCACACAGGGGACTTGATGAGCAGTAGTTGGGTGTGTGTTGAGTTGCAGGGTGGCTTATTTTCATGTGCAGAGCACCTGATCTTTCATTACGTATTTCCACCCTAGAACCCCAAGAATATACAGCCAGACAGGTGTACCTCATGCTCATCTTCACCCATGTGGTGTTAGGGAGATGTTTGATTACAACTCTGAAGGTAATGCTTAGAAAAAATGTGCACTCATGGGGAACTGCGGAGTTTGTTTGTCTGACTCAGATTTAATAAATGACAAGCTTAACAGTCAGGACAGTGCGATGGTTCCTGAGGAAGACTGACTTACTGTAAGGGCTTCTGAAAGTTGATGGGAAAATGGAATGTGAAGGTAAGTTTAAGGGCTAGGTGTCTGGCCTAACAGTTGAGATGTCCATGTTCTACATTACAATACCTGGATTTGATTTCTAATCCCAACTCCTCTAACTTTCACTTCCTAAAATTTCAGAGCCTGGGATGCCGCAAGCTGTGGCTCAGATGATTGGGTGCCTGCCATGCACGTAGGACACTTGGATTGAGCTGCCAGCTTGTGGCTCCAGCACCATGCAGCCTCAGCTGTGTCAGGCATTGACCCCATAGATGGGAGCTCTGTTTCTCTGTCATTAAACGACAAAAAATCATTTTGATGCAAAAAACTTTGAATTCCATGCATACTAAGGGCTCTTCAAAGAATTCATGGGAACATTTTTTTAAATGAAAAATATGTGTAGATTTAAATTTTGCTCCAACATAAGCTTCTCTAAGTATCCTCACACATTTTGTAGAGGTGGTCACAAACCAGGCATTCCAGGGCGGTGTACTAGGTGGACTGATGGAGGCATGTCCTCTGAACTGCCAGAGCCTCCTTTCCAATTCCTCTGGTTGCTTCTCCAGCTCCACCTGGGCTAAGGTTGGTTTTTGTTTTTTTTTTTTTTTTTTAAAGATTTATTTATTTATTGGAAAGTCAGATATACAGAGAGGAGGAGAGACAGAGAGGAAGATCTTCCATCCAATGATTTACTCCCCAAGTGAGTGCAACGGCTGATGCTATGCCGATCCGAAGCCAGGATCCAGAAACTTCTTCCGGGTCTCCCACACGGGTGGAGGGTTCCAAGGCTTTGGGCCGTCCCCGACTGCTTTCCCAGGCCACAAGTAGGGAGCTGGATGGGAAGTGGAGCTGCCAGGATTAGAACCGGTGCTCATATGGCATCCTGGTGCGTTCAAGGCAAGGACTTTAGCTGCTAGGCCACTCTGCCTGGCCCGGGTTTTGTTTGTTTTTAAGTCACTTGTGGCAAGTGCCTCAAGTTGATTGCCTCTGGTCTGGAGGGCAGTCCCTCCCGCACTAACCCTGACTTGCTGAAGCTCTTCTTGCTTCTTGGTGTTCCCTTTTGTCCTTCTGCCCTATAACCTCTCTCAACAGCCCCTCCTGGGCAGTGTCTTCTCTTTGCTTTCTTAGGACTCCCTTCTCTTGTCTGTCGAAGCCTAATGCTTTGTTCTTCGTCAGTGAGGGGAAGCAGCCTTTGCAGGAGTTCATGGTTGCAAATGGCAAATAGCAGTTTGTCTAGTTGACGCAGCCATTGGTAACTCCAGATTCTGAGGATACTTTTGGCTGGGATCCAGAGAGTGATAAGGAGAGGAATGTGCGTCGTCACTTTCCCAGCATCCCCTGGGACCTTCCCCACGTGGAGACACCTGTTGATCTTGGATCCTTCTGATTAGCTTTATGACTTCATCTCTAAGCTCATTTCCTCTGTGAAATGGGCATGTTCAAGATGTGCTGAAGATGACAATGACCTTGATGATGTAGAAACATGCAGTGCTTGTACATATGTATCTATTGGATATACATATATATCATTGGATCAATGGAATGTGAGAAGGTCAACTCCATTTCCCCATTGTATATAAGAATAATTCAGATTTTTCTGGAATTCAGAGCTAAACTCTTGGTAAGTTGAAAAAAAAACTTATTTTTTACTTGAAAGGCAACATTACAAAGAGAGACGGAGAGATTGTCATCCACTGGATTAATCCCTAAAGGGCTGTAAGGGAGCTGGACTGGTTCGAAGCCAAGAGCCAGGAACTTCTTTAGGTCTCCCACATGGGTGCAGGGCCCAGGCATTTGGGCTTCCTCTGCATCCTTTTCAGGTGTTTTAGCAGGGAGCTGGAGAGGAGGTGGAGCTGTTGGGACTTGAACTGGTGCCCATGATATTCTGGCGCTGCAGAAAGGGGCTTAGTGTGCTATGCCATGATGCTGGTCCCAAGTTGGGAATTCTGTATCTGGCTGATCCAGAATTTTAGTGCTTGGGGAAATTGTTACCTAGCAAAAGTAATTGTATGTGTATGTTGCTAAGTTTTATTTTTTCCTGCTGGAGAAACATCTGTGTGGCTGAAATTTCTTTGAACCCTGTGTTTAACTAATGGTAGTTGAAGGTAAAGTCTTCACTGGCTCCCAATGTTACGTCCACCTCCCATATCAGCTAGGACTGTCAAGTTGTGAATGTTTAAAACATTGTTAAAAAGGGAAGTTTGATATTTTTTTGTTCTTTTTCAGATCATTTACAAGAAAAACCAGTTTTCTTTATTTCCCCCTTTTTGACTTGAATTATAGACCAATTCAAATTGTGATAAGATATACTGAGTTTTGTGTATATTTTAGTTTGTGACTGCGGGATCAGTATTAAAAGCAGGGATCTGGTGCTGAGCCCTGTGAGTTAAGCTATAGCTTACAGACACTGGCATCCGTATGGCTGGTGTTACACACTGGGGAGGGCAGTGGAGGATGGCCTAAGTGCTTGGGCCCCTGCATCCGTGAGGGAGACTTGGATGAGGCTTCTGGCACCAGACCTTGTCCTGGCCCAGCCCTGGCTGTTGGGCCATCAGGGCACCAGTCTCTGTAAATTCTGCCTTTCAAATAAATGAAGGAATCTTTTAATAAAAAAAATTAACAGCAGAAATTAAAATGTAAACTCAGTGTATCTTTATCAAACAGGGAGCCTTCTAGCTCTCATTTATAGAGGGCAAGATGACAGAGCCTAGTATTTTGATAGAAATAAGACCTTAAAAATGGTGCTGGCAGGCTTGGCACAATGACTAAATAGCTAAATCCTCACCTGACAAGTGCTGGGGTCCCATTCTAGTCCTGGTTCTTGTCCCAGCTCCTCCACTTCCCATCCAGCTCCTTGCTTATGGCCTGAAAAAACAGCAGAGGATGACTCAAAGCCTTAGGACCCTGCACCCGCATGGGAGACCTGGAAGAAGCAGTTGGCTCCCGGCTTTGGATTGGCTCAGCTCCAGGCATTGTGGCCACTTGGGGAGTGAAGCAGCAGATGGAAGATCTTTCTCTCTGTCCGTTTTCCCTTTGTACATATGATCTGCCTTTCTAATAAAAATTAATAAACCTTTAAAAAATGGTGCTGGCAGGGATGGTGTTGATGCATAGCAGATAAACCTACAACTTTGATACCCTGTGTGGATGCCGGTTCAAGTCCCAGCTGATCCACTTCCAGTTCAGCTCCCCGGGGATGGCCTAGGAAAAGCAGTAAAAAATGGCCCAGTGCTTAGGCCTCTGTCACCTAAGTGGGAGACACACTGAAGCTCCTGGCTCTGGGCTTTGACTTGGCTTGGTCCTGGTTTGTTGACTGTTTAGGGGAGTGAACCAGCAGGTGGATGATGTCTGTTTCCTCTCTGTAACTCTGAATTTCAAATAAACAACTCTTGGATGCTGACTTGAACTAAAATATATTGACTGTAGTTTGACAAAGACAAGGTGCCTAAGAAAGTCTTGTACTTGGAAGACATTTCTTTGCTACACAACAGTTCCTTTTCGAGGATTGTGAAGAATGTTCTAAGGTTGGAGTTAGGATTTTTCTTTTTCTTCCTTTTTCCTGGTGCGTAGTATTTACTGTTAATATTTTGTTATTTGAGAGGTAGAGAGAACCTCTCTCTATGTCCATTCCCCAAATGTTAACAGTGGCTTTTGGCTGGGACTGAAGCCGGGAGCCGGGAACCCAGTGCAGGTCTCCCAGTGGATGGTGGCAGTCCCAGTCACCTGAGCCATCATGTCTGCCTCCAGTATCTGAGTTAACAGGAAGCTGAAGTCGGGAAGCAGAGCCAGGATGAAACCCAGGCACTCTGTTGTGGTATGCAGACATCTTAACCAGCCTCTATTTTGTTAAAATCGATTTATTTGTTTGAAAGAGAGAGAGAGAGAGAGAGCGAGCAGATGGTCACAGGCTTTTCGGTCACTGGTTCACTCCACAGATGGCTGTAACAGCTGGAGCTGCATCTTCTGTGTAGGTGACAGGTGAATATGTATTTTAGCTTATATCTGCTGCCTCCGGGGCTGTGTATTAGAAGAGCTAGAATCGGGACTTGAACCCAAGCACTCAAACCCAAACTTTTTAATATGGGTGTGGGTCTTCTCAAGCATCATGTTAACCATTGGCCCAAAGAGGCCAATTTATTAATGTAGCATTGGCCAAGGAAAGTCCTGTGACCAAGCCCAGCATCAGCTTTGGGAAAGTATATTCTGCCCAGTGTATTATCAGGATGTTTCAGAAACTGGAAAATTTGTATATGAAAAACCTACATATGAATTTCAAAATTTTTTTTGCACCAAAATAAAGTCTTCATTCCATGATCTTTTGCAAGTATTGTCTCTATCAAGTAATATAAGCAGCTTAATTTTGGTGAATTGATATGAAATTGCAAGTATGGAAGAATTCTGTGATTTGCAGCAAGTTGATTTCAAAATGTGGCTGTTTCGTTTTCCACATCCAAAGAACAATGTTTAGAAATGGATCACTTGAGAATTCGAAAAGCATGTAAAGAATAACTTATTTGTCCAAAAACGGAGATGTTGAAACAATCCTGGCTGTTTGTTCATTGACAAGGCGACGTTGCAACTACCCCCGTCTTTGTTTCAGGGCTCATCTCTAAGAAGATGTGCGCTCTCTCGTAGTGGATTGTATTATTGTGCTTTTGGTCTCAAAGAAGAGCTGTGACAACAGCAACCAGTAACGCTCTTCTTATTACTCTGTTATAGGACACAATGAGTATATCTGTCCAGCTACAAATCAGTGTACCATAGACAAGAACCGCCGCAAAAGCTGCCAGGCCTGCCGACTTCGGAAGTGCTATGAAGTAGGAATGGTGAAGTGTGGTGAGTGTTTACCCCACTGGCGTTGTGTGGGGGCTGCGCTGGAAGCTGGGGGTCTCTAACTTGCCTGAGAGGAAGGGATCTGAGGACCTGGTGGCTCTTGCCAGGGGCATTTGTGTGCTGCCACAACAGGGGGCATGGACTGGTTGTGAGTTCCTGCCTGGAACACAGCTGTGCTGAATGGCAGCAGGCTGCAGGAGGCAGGCAAGAGTGTCTACAGCTCCAGGGGTGTACGGCATGAGAGAGCGCCATTGAGATGCTCCGCAGGCTGGGTGACCATCTACCTGAGACGCTGCAAGTCCCATCCTGAAGGTGAAGACCTGGCAGTTGGCTTTAATTTATATGTTGGGACAAAATATAGAGATTTACAGAGAGAAGGAAAGATGGAAAGATCTTTTATCTGCTGGTTCACTCTCCAAGTGGTTGCAACGGCCAGAACTGAGCCGATCTTAAGCCAGGAGCTGGGACCTTCTTCCGGGTCTCCCACGTGGGCATAGGGTCCCAAGGCTGTGCGCCGTCCTCTGTCGCTTTCCCAGGCCACAGGCAGCGAGCTGGATGGGAAGTGGAGCAACTGGGATACAGATTGGCACCCACCTGGAATCCCAGCACAAGCAAGGCGAGAACTTTAGCCATTAGTCTGCTGTGTCGTGCACAATTTATCCTTATTTTTGAGTGAGGTTTAGTTAATAATATAATTCTAAACTAAAAGATTTCTTTCCTCCACTTTATAAATTCTGGTCATAAAGCTGTAAAGTCTATAGCATTTTGATACCAACACTGGAGCAGAAAGGTAGGTTTGTCAACAATAGTGAATCTAGAAAACAGAATCCTTTCGTAGCTATTTATTTATTAAGGAGACAGCATTTTAAATAGATAAATAAGACTTATTCGATAGGTAACAGTGGGAAAATTGTGCATGTTTTGGGAAACTATAACATGAAACATCAGTGCAACACCAATGTGCACACAATTCCAGCTAGATGTGAACTGAGAAGGTAAAGGAGAACCTTTGTGTCATCATGATGTAAAACAAAGATTTGACAAAAGTCACCGTGAGCAATACTGAATGTCCCATGGTGTGAATAGTCTTTAAATCGTTGTCCAGATTGCAAAATTTTAAATACTTCTGGAGCATGTATCAACGTGCGTTAAAACGGTGGACTTAGGATGCTGTTGTAATGATATGGGGGAACTTGGTGAGGGGGGAGGGATTAGGGGAAGGGGTAGGGGAAATCCCAACGCCTATGGAACTGATCGTAAAATGGTAATAATAATAAGAAGAAAATAAAAGAGGAATGGACTTAACATTCAGACACCTGGACGCAGAGATACCAGAAACGTTGATGTTGCTAACGGTTACACTTGCAGTAATCACTGGTCCATGCCCCACAGAGTTCCATCTGATCACGTGCAGGCTTCCACTCCCTGATGTTGTGAGGATACACTCAGACCTTCCAGTGATGTCACTGTGTCATGTTCACCCTGGCTAAAAGCATCCTATCATTGTCTTCTTCCCCGATAGGCTCCCGGAGAGAAAGGTGTGGGTACCACATAGTGCGAAGACGGAGAAATTCTGGCGAGCAGCTGCATTGCCTGGGCAAAGCCAAGAGAAATGGTGGCCACATGATGCGAGTGAAGGAGCTGCTGCTGAGCGCCCTCAGCCCGGAGCAGCTGGTCCTCAGCCTCCTCGAGGCAGAGCCACCGGATGTGCTGGTGAGCCGGCCCAGCACACCTTTCACTGAAGCCTCCATGATGATGTCGCTGACCAAACTGGCTGACAAGGAGTTGGTGCATATGATCGGCTGGGCAAAGAAAATTCCAGGTAGGGCTCTCTAGCAGCCAGTGTTCCGTTTGTTTATGGGAAGGCTTGCCCCTGATGTTTGTGGGATGGGAGTTCAAAGTGGAGGCCCGTGAACTGTGTCTGCATATTTACAGTTTGGTTATTTGAGCTGTGATTTTTAAATGAAGTTTGTCCTTTTCTTTCTGTAGAACGGATATGTTCTAGAAAGCAGTTTCTAACTTAAAAGTTCTTACACTTTTTTATATTAGACATGATAGTGCAAGAATTGTGTGTCGAATGCCTGTTTGTTTTTTTTTCTTTAAAGATTTGTTCACTTGAAAGTTACAGTTATAGAGTGTGTGTCAGAGATGGAACGGGAGAGGGAGGGAGGGAGAGAGGGAGAGAGAGAGAGAAAAGATAGCTCCCATCTGTTGGTTCACTCCCCAGATGGCTACAATGCCCAGGCCAAAGTTAGGAGCTCCATTTGGGCCTCCCGTGTGGGTAACAGGGGCCCAGACACTTGGGTCAATCTCTGTTGCTTTTTCCAAGGCACATTAGCAGGGAGCTGGATTAAAAGTAGAATATCGGTAACATGAACTGGTACCCGATGGGATGCTGGTGTTGGAGGAGGTGACTTTGCCAGCCACCCTACAGCACTGCCTCCCAGCTTGCTCATTTCTCCTCTTGCCTCTTCCCAGCCCCAGATCCATCCCACACCACCCTCACACCCTCCTCCTACGTGTGCCCATCATCCCTTCCCATTCCCAGGGGAGAGACTCACCCACTGCTGCCTGCAGTTGGGCATAAGCCCATTTGGGCAAGAAATTCTAAGGTCCTGGGGCCTGGCTGGAAGGCACAGATGGTTGTTCCATATCCATCTCTGTCTTGGTGGCAGAGTCCTCACCTGGAAAGGAGAGGTGTGGTCACTAAATCCTTCAGGATAGTCTTGTTTTATTATACGATAGACTTTGAGATGATTTGGCATAATTACATGCTAAAACAAGTTTTCTGAACGTGTTTAAGATAGGCTAGGCTAAAAACCATGATGTTCAGTAGTAAACTGATATTTTAAAATTACAAGTGGAGCATTAATACCTGAAATACCATCCTGATCTAAAATTGCCAGTGGATAGCCTTTGATTGGATAGTCTGTGATTCCATCCTAAAATGCGAGAGCCCATCCTCCCTGTGCCATGAAAGAGCGTCTCCAGCATGTCCTTCCAAACTTAAGAAGTGACACCTGTCTCTAAACCACTGGATGTGTTCCTGTGGTCTGGAGTGCTCAACTGCATTAAGGCAAACTGAAGGACGGGGCGGTAAAGAGCCAAGGGACAGTAATTAGGGCTGTAGGATTGAAGGACAGGAGTGATAGTATCTTCAGGGGTCATTTTTTGTTCTGGGCTGCCTCATGAGCTGCCTGAGGATTTTCTGAGTTGCACTTTTGTCTAGCATCTTTGCCAGAACTGAGCTACTTTCTTGGCTCTCCCAGAAGAGTGAGTGAGTGCTGGCATGCCTTCCTCTGGGTTTTGTTGAAGCATATTCAGGGGTGGGCATTTGGCACAGGGGTTAGGATGTCTGTTGGGATGCCTGCCTTCTGTTTTGAGTGCCTGGGTTCAAGTCTTGGCTCTGCTCCTGATTCCAGCTTCCTGCTAATGCAGACCCTGGTTAAGAAGTGGCGGTGGTTCGAGTTACAGGGTCCCTGCTATCCACAAAGAAGACCTGAATTGAGTTCCTGGTTCCTAGCTTCAACCTGGCCTTGTCCAGCTGTTTAGGGCACTGGAGTAAGCTAGCAGATGGGAGATCTCTCTGTCAGTGGTTTTATCTCTTGAATAAGTAATTAGGGACAGTGCTCGAATCCCTGCTTTGGATACCCACATGTTGTCTGAATGTGTCATTCTGGGCCTGACTGCTATACTTCTCATGCAGCTTTCAGCTTACAAGCATCTTGGGGAGGAAGCAGAGGATGGCCCAAGTACCTGGGTCCTTATCCTTTACATGGGAGACCCCAAAGAAGTTCTAGGTTCTTGTCTTTGGGCTGATCTAGCCCAGACTGTTCTGGGCATTGGGAGAGTGAATTAGCAGATATAAGAATGTGTCTTTCAAATAAAATGAGAATTATTTCATTCATTAAATTTAAAATAAAATGAAAAAAAAAGTGTTTCAAACACTATTTTGCAGAATCCTACATGGAGAGTGGTGCTGAAATTCATTATTACTGAAAGCTATGCATCTTCTTTGTACACTAATAAAGCTGAACCCATAAGCTGCATTAGTCCCTCTTCTAGCCTGATATTTTGAAAGTTTTTTGGAAAACTTAGGCTTCCTATGAATTTGCTTTCTTCTTTCTCAGCCGACATAATTACTGTCTACTTTCCTGCCCCTCAAATATGAAAATCTCATCTAGTCTTAATCTTGTTGCATATCCATAGGATTAAAAGCCTTCCCTCTCGTGGGTAAGCTGACTGTATAGGACTGTGGGTTAGACTGGGACATGCACATGTGTTAGGAACTGAATGGAGCCTGGTGTGGGCTTTGAAAGGATCTGCCCATCTTTACATTCGTTACTGCAGCTAATCTTCCTCTGGGCAGATTTGCAGTGCCCATCTGTAATACAATGAAGAGGTAAAAAGAGATTCAATAATTGACTAGGAGTGGCTGAGCTGGGGCTGAGCCGGAGTCCCTTTTGCTCCGAGGTTGTGTGACACCATCCAGTCCTGGTCTCAGGCCTGTGGAGCAGGTCTCTATTGTCTGCTTAGTCTGAACTGCTGTCTCCCCAGAGCTGGCCTGTTTGCGGGCTCTGGAACCAGACCAGGGAGACTGTCAGAGCCGTTGCTCTCCAACATGGAACTGGACGGGAGCACTCCTGCCCAGACGAATGCTGCTAGCTCTGGAGGGGAGGTGCTCTGCAGAAGCTGGTGCTGCCTCCACATGCTCCCCATTGCCAGCCTCTGCCTACCCTTGACCTGCACCCCAGGCCTGCACTCCTGCTTGTCCCAGTCGTGGTTGGGTCCTGTGGCAGCTCCTCAGATGCATGGAGCCAGAGGAATTACTAAGATATAACTGCTGAAGCTTGGTTCCAGCTTTCTGGCCGTCCTGAACGTCTGTGTGGGAAGCTGAATGAGCCCAGGTGCTACCAGGCCTTTGTAAGTTCCAAGTGAGTACAGTCACCTGTTGCTTAATGGTGGTGCTGCATTCTGGGAAATGTGTCACTGGGTGATCTTGTCATTGTAGGAGCATCACTCACACAAACCTAGCTAGTACTGAGCCCCAGGACTGTTTAGGTCACCTTCATATATTTGGTCCCTTGTTGACTGAAGTATTGCTCTGTGGCTTAGGACTGGATATTTGTCTTAGAACACTCTAAGTTGTTCTTCCTTGAACCAGCCTTAATCACATTTAAGAATACAGATTATTTTCCCATACTGTTAGGTTTTTTCCTTTGCTTTTTAAAAGCTGCTGTTCTGTTTTCATAGAAGCGAGTTGCCCAGGGAAAGGGCAGGTGCATCTCATGGCTCTTGCTTCCCACAGGCTTCGTGGAGCTCAGCCTGTTCGACCAAGTGCGGCTCTTGGAGAGCTGCTGGCTGGAGGTGTTAATGGTGGGGCTGATGTGGCGCTCAATTGACCACCCAGGCAAGCTCATCTTTGCTCCCGACCTCGTGCTGGACAGGTGAGAAAAAACCCACGGTGTGCCTCTTCCTGTTTTCTGAGTAAAGTGTGTAGGGACTGAGGAACAGAGTTATGGATGAAAGGATTAAAAGGTCACACCTGAACCAGCCATCTGCTCCTTCATCAAGTCAGAAACTAATAAATGTTCTATAACTCCTGCATTTTAGTTTTTATTTGCTTTATGTATTTAAAAGGTAGAGAGAGTGATCTTCAAATGCCTGCAGAGGTGAGCCAGGCCTTAGGCAGGAGTTGGGGGTCTCAGTTTGGATGTTCCACGTGAGTTGTAAGGATCCAAGTACTTGAGCCATCACCACTGCCTGAAGCAGAGCCAGGACTTGAACCCAGGTGCTGCAGTATGGGATGCAGGCATGTCACGTGGCATCTTACTGCTGCACCAAAGACCTGCCCTCCTGTGGCATTTGTTTTATCCACTGGTTCATTTACCCAAATGATCATAATGGCCAAATCTGATTGGTCCAAAGCCATACCAACACCATCTCAGAATCATCAAAACCACTCAGTTAACAGTCTTGGAATATTCTTCCCCATGCTGGGGTCTCTAAGATGACTGTCCCCATCTCCGAGTGCTGCTATCCCCTTACCCACCTCCCCCCTGCAGACATAGGAGAAGAAAGGAAAAAGTAGGAAACATTTGGCCCACCTGCCTTCCCCACCCTAACCAGTGACCCACATGGGCACACACATCATGTCCTTATCAACTATGTAAACAACACACGCAGAGTCAGGAGCCCAAAACTTCATTCAGGAGTCTCCTACACATGCAGGGGCCCGAACACTAGGGCCATCTCTGCATCATTCCCAGGTGCATTCGTAGGAAGCTGGATCGGAAGCAGAGCAGCTGAGATGTGAGCTGTCACTCCAGTATGGGATACTGACATTGGAGACAGGATTTAACTTGCTGTGCTGCAGTGCTGGCCCCCTCATTTAAAATCTGTATTACAGTATCATTCGCAGGCAAGGGTCACTACTCTGCAGGATACTGTGGCCACTAGGTGTGCAAGTCAGCTTCAATGTTTCTGCATGAAAAACTCCATGATTGGGTAATAACGTAAAATTGTTCTGAGAATTTTTCCAGCTGTAGTGACCAATTGCATTTTCAGCTATCTGGACCGGCAATATGATTCTTCCAAATCTGCCAACTTGATTTGAAAGTGCTTTAATGCTTTAATGCATGTGCATTTTTGGCAGTAGTGACTACAGGAATAGTTAGTTATGAAAACCAGATGAAAATGAATGGAAATTGGAATATGATGGCACTAGTGTTGTGCCTTGATTATATTGAGTTTTCAGAGACCACATGGAAAGGTGTGGGCATTGTGCACACTGGTTTATCTGCTGCTTGGACATGCATGTCTTGTATCAGCGAGTCTGAATTCTGCTGCTTGTTCCAGCTTCCATATGTGCACCCTGGGAGGCAGCAGGTGATGGCTTAGAGACCCGGAGTGAGTTCCTGGCTCCTGGCATTAGTCTAGTGCTGCTCAAATGCTGTGGGCATTTGGGTAAGGAAAACTGGGATATACAAAACCAGATGCTTTCTAGCCCATAAAATGAAACACTTTGTTGGTGAAAAACTGCTAGAGTTTCTTTAGCCATGTTTAACCCTGCGCACAGTAGGAAGATGCCCAGTGCTGGTGTCAGCAGAGATGAGTGGAATAGGTTCTTGTCTTCCTGCAAGAAGGCGTTCAGCTGCGGGACAGGGAGGAGTGGTAAGAAAGGCAGTAAGGCTTCATGGGCTAGAGCGTTGGTCAGAATGGAAGAGTACCTCTCCAGACACTCTGGGCAAGGCAAGGTGACACGGGTTAATGGAGAGCATACACCTGACGACCCAGTTAGCTTGGCCCAGGACAGAGCTGAGTGCGCTGCTTGGATCCCGATTCGGGCTTGTTAGGAAATAGGGTCCAGTTCTTTCTGTTATTTTCCTCCTGCCCTCCTTTTCTGGACACAAGAATTGCTGAATATGAATTAGGCCGATTTTATTAGTGCTAGCTAGCTTATTAGATGCCGAGATTACACTGGGAGAAGATTGTGAAAGTCTGACAGCACACTGCTGTCGTGCCAGGTAACCCATTTGGTGCTGCGCAGGCAGGATTCTCCTCTCTGTATATCTGACTTGCCAATAAAAATAAATAAATTAATAAATAAGAGTTGTAACTCCTTTAAATAAATAAATAACTTATAAGAGAGACCAGAGCCTTCTGTAACAGAATAGTCACCTTGCCAGCTTACGTATGCTTGCCCTGTCTGCAGCACCTGGTGTGTTGGTTGCTTCAGGTTCCCCAGTAGGCTGCGCGGGGGAAGCACTGTGGTTTTCCCCAGGTTACCCAGTGGTAAGTGGAAGAGTGAGACAGGGGGGTCTGCAGGTGAAGTTCTGTTTGTGACAGCGGCACACTGACCCCAGTGGACAACCGGTAGGAGGAAGCCCAAAAGGCAAACTCACTCCCTGCTTTATTCTTTTGCCTTAGAGAAGTCCTATTCTGCCCTCGGCTACTTTAGAAACTCACTCCTCCTTATAAATTGATTCTAAATGTGGTGTTTATTTTCTATGACTTTTTTTTAAAAAAAAGTTACTTATGGGCGGGCCTAGAATAGTAGCCTGGAGACAAAAGTCCTCACCTTGCACACACTGGGATCCCATATGGGTGCCAGTTCTAATCCCAGTGACCCTGCTTTCCATCCAGCTCCCTGCTTGTGGCCTGAGAAGGCAGTAAAGGATGGCGCAAAGCTTTGGGAACCTGCACCCATGTGGGAAACCTGGAAGAAGCTTTGGGCTCCTGGCTTTGGATCAGCTCAGCTCTGGCCCTTGAGGCAGCTTGGGGAGTGAATCAGCAGATGGAAGATCTTCCTAACTTCTTCTCTGTATATCTGACTTTCCAATAAAAATAGCTCTTTAAAAAAGTTATGAGCTATTTATTTAAAAGAGTTACAAGGGAGAGGGAGAGCTAGTTGTGTCCAAGCACTTGGGCTGTTTTCCACTGCTTTCCCAGACATATGATTGGGCAGTTGGATTGGAAGTGTGTCCTCATGGCATGGCACCACAGGCTGTGGCTAAACCTGTTTTACCACAACACAGGCCCCTTCAGTGACTTTTATTTCTGACTTTCAGTTCAATTTAGCTCGCTCTTTTCTCTGAATTTTTAGTCTTTGTAAGCATGTGTATTAGTTACTGAAAATATAAGGAATCTTATTGATAAGTATAAGAAATGTTAAGACTGTTTGAGGGGAAAAAAAAAGAACATTTGAGGACCGTTCCCTTTTTTATTTCAAATCCTTTAATTTTGACCTATTACGCATAATTTATATTCAATTTATAATTACAAAATAAATGAAATTAGTTTGATTCATTGATTAAAAGTCCTTCCCACTCTATTCTGTATAACCCAACTTGAAGTAGAAGTATATTCGGCTGCCATGTATGAGGTATTGTGCTTTATTATCCCCATAATTTTCGTTTGTTACTGGTTTCTGTAGCCCGAGATGTGACTAGAAATGCTGTCCCCTTGCCGCCCCTTGAAGGAGATAGCTGGCTGTCCCACTTGGAGGACGGCGGGGAGACCTCACTCTAGGATCGCTTTAGGCGTTCACCTTTTTTCAGGAGGAGCCGGTGCTCTGATTTCTGGGAGCTGCAGCACTTGTCAGGCCCTACTGTGTAGTTCCTCCCATTTTTGAGATAGGAATTTACAACTAGCAAGGCGTGCATTTAGAGGAGGAAATGGTACCCACTGCAGTGTGGAGGGAGGGTTCTTGTGCACAGGTGGCAGCTTCTGATTTCCCATGAGTCTCTCCTGCCTGCTGCTTGGGGAAGGTGTGTGGGTTACACATGGGTGTGCATGTGTGCAGTCCCACCCATGACCTTGAGTCTCACAGAAGGGTAAAGGGCAGAATTGTGAATGTACTCCAGCAATCTTCTGGAAAATGGAATAAAAAGATAATTTCTTTTTTTAAGATTTATTCACTTTTATTACAAAGTCAGATATACAGAGAGGAGGAGAGACAGAGAAAGATCTTCCATCCGATGATTCACTCCCCAAGTGACTGCAACGGCCGGTGCTGTGCCTATCTGGAGCCAGGATCCAGGAACTTCCTCCAGGTCTCCCACACAGGTACAGGGTTCCAAGGCTTTGGGCTGTCCTCGACTGCTTTCCCAGGCCACAAGCAGGGAGCTGGATGGGAAGAGGAGCTGCCGGGATTAGAACCGGTGTCCATATGTGATCCTGGCGAGCTCAAGGCGAGGACTTTAGCTGCTAGGCCTCGTCACCGGGCTCAGAAAGCTAATTTCATTTTGGCACAAAATTTTTTGAAATTCATGCAACCAAGAAATCTTCAAAAAACTCTTAAGTATGTTACAAAAAGTTATGGATAGACTTTGAAAGTTTTCTGCAGCAAAATAAGCTTAACATTTCCTTTTTGCTTTTTAAAGATTTTATTAGAAAGTTAGATATACAGAGAGGAGGAGAGACAGAGAGGAAGATCTTCCATCTGATGGTTCACTCCCCAAGTGGCTGCAATGGCTGGAGCTCGCCAATTTGGAGCCAGGAGACCCCTTGGGGTCTCCCACGTGGGTGCAGGGTGCCAAGGCTTTGGGCTGTCCTCGACTGCTTTCCCAGGCCACAAGCAGGGAGCTGGATGGGAAGTGGGGCTGCTGGGACATGAATCACCACCCATATGAATCCTGGTGCTTGCAAAGTGAGGACTTTAACCTCCAGGCTACTGTGCTGGACCCAAATTTAACATTTTATTTGCTGTGTTCACAAATGTTTTGAATTATCCTTGTATCAAACCATCAGTGCAGTAGTTGGTAGATCTGTTGTTTTGCTCCTCAGACATTTTTTTTTAGATTTTAATATTTAGAGCTCTGTGGTCATGTTAGCTTAATTAGTTTCTGTTGATTTCCACAGTATAGTTTTGTAGGTTTAGGGATTCAACCCTCCATCCCCCTTCTCTTCCTTCCCATTTTTCCCTCCCATCACCCACTCACTGTATCAACACAGTAGTACAGTCCCTTGGTGTTAGTTATCAGTTTAATTTTCTGATGTTTAAGTGTGTTATGATAAGTCCAGGCAAAGGTAAAAGCAAATGCAATGTAGAGTGTATGTGTGAGTTCTGTTGGAAGTCCTGTTTTTATTTGGAAGCAGAGATGCAGACTGCACAGTGCTTGACTTCCCAGCATGCTCATCTCCCTTGCACCATCTCTGTTTTTCCCAGTATTACAGTTCTCCAGGTCCACAGTTACAGTCTGTACTCATTGTTGGTGTTAAGGGTGGCTTAGGGATGGTACCTTGGCTTGGTAGCTAACCCTCCATCACTGGCACTGCTTCATGCCCTGGCTCTTCCACTTTCAGCCCAGATCCCTGTTTATGACCTGGGAAAGCAGCAGAGAATGACTCAAGTGCTTAGACTCTGGAACACACTTGGGGGACCTGGAAGGAGCTCCTGGGTTCAGATCGGCCGATTCTGGTCATTGCCACTATTTGGGCAGTGAACAAGAGGATGAAAGATCTCTCTCTCTTCCTCTATTTCTCTTCTAAAAAATTTTAAGCCCTCGAAGAGCATCCTGAGATCCTGAGGCCCCCTAAGCCTGTTGGTTTTTTTTTTTTGTCCTTTTCTTTATTTTGCAAATTTTCCAGAGAGAAAGGGATACATAAAGAAGGTTGTCCGGTCCATTGGTTCACTCCCCAAATGGCCACAGCGGCTGGAGTTGTGTCAATCTGAATTCAGGACCCAGGAGTTTTTTTCCGGGTCTCCCATGTGGGTCAGGGGCCCAAGGACTTGAGCCATCCTTCTCTGCCCTCCTAGGACATAAACAGGGAGCTGGGTCAGAAGTGGAGCAGCTGGGATTTATACAGGTGCCTGGATGGGATGCTGGCGTTGCTGGTGCATGGTTAGCCTGTTATGCGACCATGCTGGCCGCAGATCTTTCAAATAAAAATAAAGTAATACATATATTTTTTGAAAATTGACTTGGTGATGTCATGAGGGACGTTCACAAGACACAAGCATTCCTTGTGCACGTGTCCTATGCAGGGCCTGTGTCTTCATTTTTGGATGCCTGCATGGCTGTCTGATAGTGGCCGGAGCCGGGGAGATAGGAAGTCAGGGTAAGAAGGTTGAGGATTTGCTGTTGGTTTTGGCATTCTGTGCCCGGGATTGTTCTGATTCTTCCAAAAATGTCCTTTGACAATGAGTAACTTAGCGGGAACACTCGTATTTTGGGATCTAAGCTGCACACTTTCAGAGTCCTGTGACCGTTTGCCGAGGTTACCAGGCTTGTTTGCCCACATGAGCAATTGCCATACTTGTTCCTCCGCTCAGGAAAGTATGCAGGGGCAAGGTCGTGGTTGATCTGCTTTCCTGGTGCAGCACCTTTGGGAAAGGTTTCCCCGGGCTTCATAATATCAGGGGTGGGACTCCTCCCCCAAGCAACACCAACCCTAAAGTGTCCTGTGTCAGAGGTGAGGGGAGTAGGAGAGGAGGCAGCCAGTGTTTTGAAAGTCCAAAGTTCACTGCGGGTACTGTTAAAGGGAGTGAAAATGAAAGCGCCAGAAATCCACACTCCCCCCCCCCCACACACACACTGTTTGCCACTAACTCTCAGGAGTGATGGAGAGTTCTACGGTAAAGAAAAAATTAACTACTTGTCAAGGGCTTGCAGTAACTCCAGGCATGAAGTTCATGGGTGTTTCGGGGGTACGGTGGAATGAAATAATCTGGCAGGAATGAATAGAATGAATTATGAATAGAATGATTAGAATAGAATGAATAGAATGATTATGAACTTCAATTAATTTATTTCTGAAGTATATTTAAAACCTCACTTCTATAGAATTTGAGATTTTTGCATGTAAGATTCAAAGTTTAAGACAAACTTTTGCTTAAAAATAATCTTTTGTAAGTCAGCAGTTTCCATGTCTGTTTTTTCTTGATGCTTCTCTGTCTTTTCTTCACAAGTCATGTTTGGTTTTGTTGTGTTCCGTGTAATGCCTCTTAAGTTGCTGTTTCAGAGTTTGTCCGCCAGGAAGTGAGAGTTAAGCTCTGGATCTGAAGACTCAGGTCCCAGCATCTGGCTTTCCTCAGTAGCACTTCCTGTTAGGGATATGGGAGGTCTCATTGTTAGTGACAAGAGGGCACTTCAGAAAGTTGATGAGAAATGGAGTTAAACGGTATTTTGAAAGCCACGCCTAATGTTTCATAACATGTACTTCGCAGAAGCTTTGTGGAGACTCCTCATGTGCAGAGATTTCAAAAAAATGTTTTTGCTCCAGAGCAAACTCAGCTTTAAAAAAATTTATTGTTCTGTGATACAGTTCCATAGGCTCCCCCTCCCTAAGTTCCTGCCCCCGCCCACAGACGTCCCCTCACATCATTAACAATCCGTCAGAAGTCCATCAACTCACTGGTAAAGCATATCCTGACATTGTTGGCATGCGCAGTGGCAGAGTAGAGCATCCTAGAGTCGAGATACATTCAACAGTTTCTTTGGGAGTGCATCTTTGCTTTGGAAGTAGAGATGCACATGGCCTTGTATCTTCACATCTGTATGTGACAGTTGCTATACATCCCCGTCAATGAAAAGCCATAAAAAACAACAGAGAAAAATAGAAAATTTGCAACAACGTGAAGTTCGATAACCTGCTACTGAGTGACTTTCCTGAAGCAGATTATGCTATTGTGAGACCTATGAGTCAGTGAGGAAATTAATAAGAAAACGTTGTTTTGAATGAATGAAAATAAAAACAAAAATATCAAACCCCCTGAGATGTAGCAAAAACAGTATTGAAAGGGCTGTTGATATTGTATTTTGAATGAAGGTCACCTTATATTTAATCTAGTTCCAGTTCTTGACACAGTATTTTCTGCCTTTCAAGTAAATGTTAATTTTAAAATCCGTTTCTATTTCTCTAGCCGCCTTCTACTCACTATAGGAAATTATATTCTCATTTTTAAAAAATTGATGCAGTTTAGACTGCTCATAAGATACCTGCTTTGAATTCGGAGCCTTTGGAACTGTATCATAAATTATTTTTTAAAAGTTACTTCAGAAAAAAAGTAAAAATACTAAAGTTGGTACAGGCAGTGTGGTGTAGCCATTTCAGTGCCAATTCATGCCCTGGCTGTTAAAATTGCAATCCAGCTCCCTACTAATGGTCTGGAAAAGCAGAAGGTGGTACAAGTTTTTTTTTTTTTTTTAGTGTATTATATCACATTTATTGTCTTATCATTTTATTTTTTTGATACAGTTTTATGTCTCATTTTATGATACAGTTCTATAGGTCTTGGGATTTCTCCTACGCTTTCCCCTAATCAGCTTCCCCACTGAGTTCCCCTCTATCATTACAACAGCATGGTTCCTCATAGATAGTCAAAAGTCCATCACTGCGGGCATGGACAACAGCAGAGGGTCCAGCATCCCATTGTCGAGACACATCCAAGGGCTTCACTGGGAGTCCCTCCTCGGTCCAGAAGTCTCCGCCATATCCTCACATCTGGACATGTCAGTCTCCACTACACAGTCACTATCAATCTCCCCAAGTGAAAAGCCACGAAACAAAACCAACAGGAAGTAAAACAAAAATTGACAATGCCATGAAGTTAAATAACATGATACTGAATAGCTAATGTGTTGCAGAAGAAGTGAAAAAGGAAATCGAGAACCATCTTAAAGAAAATGATGCTACTGTGTGATCTGAGTCATTAAAGAATTTAATGAGAAAGAAACGTTGACATATATTTTTATGTGCTGCCAAACATGTCATATGTGACATCTAGAGCTGGTTGGCTGAAATGGTTTTGACTGAAAACAACAGGAATGGTATTGTGCAAATGTTAGGTGAACAAGGCGAATACAGTAAAATGCAGTTTCAAACCACACTCTTGCCTCAATACTAGATATGCAAGTTTTATTGAAGAATTTGTAGGAAAGGCCCTTTTTCTTTCTCCTTTATTATCTGATTTTGGTAATTTCATATCACTTGGTGTGGTCTTATCGATAGCTTGTTATAATAAAAGGATATACAAGATGAAATTTAAGATTAAAATGAAGCTACTCCTCATTACTGTTGGTGGTTGCCTGGAGCTGCGTTCCTTCAATTCTCAACTGTGTTTTTGTAGGGATGAGGGGAAATGTGTTGAAGGAATTCTGGAGATATTTGACATGCTCTTGGCAACAACGTCCAGGTTCCGCGAGTTAAAGCTCCAACACAAGGAATATCTCTGTGTGAAGGCCATGGTCCTCCTCAATTCCAGTAAGTAAGCGCACAGCTGGGCCGTGCTGTGGGAAAGCAAGGTGGCATCCAGGCCTGTGGGTTGCTGAGAGTGTTGAATTTATGTTTTATTTAGAAACAGAATCATGACTTCCTTTCTGACTTTTTTAAAATTTGGATTTAAACTGCAGTTAGATTTTGGTAAGGTCAATATTAACTGGTGGTTAGCTGAAAAAGCAGTCTAAGCCGTTGTGCCAGAAAACCCAAAATTGAACTTTGAGATGTTTGCCTTTTAGCTTCTTGTTAATGCTCATTCAGACATTGTGATGTTTTGGGTTCTACTTTTTGCAGGTTTGTTATTCATTTGTTCATTTAAGAAACTGAAGACATAGTTCACAGTGCAGAGAGAGAACAAATCCTAATAAACAATGAACTGAGTGCTGTAACAAGGTGTGTGCACACAATGCTCTGAGGAAACATGAGCAAGAGACGGGCTGCAGTGACTGCAGAAGGGGAGGGATGCAGGAACAGCTTGGGCACCAGCAGAGGGGCTGGATGGGGTGGCAAATTGCAGCACTATACATTCTGAGTGGTCCTTGGGACCCTGCACCCAGGGACCAGAAAGAGGCTCCTGGCTTCAGATTGGCTCAGCTTCAGCTATTGTGGCTGTTTGGGGAGTGAACCAGTAGATAGAAAATCTTTGTCTCTCCTTCTCTTTGTTAGATATGCCCTTTCAATAGAAAGAAATCTTAACAAAATAAATACGTAAGTGGCTGGTGTCTGAAGCTGCCTTAAGAGAGGATCAGATGGGCTTGCCATGCCCAGGCATGCATTATGGGAAGGCCTGACTGGAGAAGGGAGGGGCTGAGGACCTGTTAAACACAGTCAGAACCTGAGCTGGCTCAGTGTGGTGGGGTCAGGAAGAAGAGAATGGATTTGATGGCAGTGGTGGGACGGGCCACAGACACTTGGGATTCTGGTTTCTTCATGTAATATTGTAAACCTTGAAGCAATTGGGAACTGTACAAGGGGGGAAGATCACCAAGAAGATTGCTTTCCTCAAGTTACTGTAATTTTGGTGATTATTCTTGAATATTTTTTTCCAAATTCTTCCTGGTCTTTAGCCTAGGAGAGAGTTAATGTAGTCATTGAAAGAGTGTTACTGTCCCTATTTTTTAAAAAAAAATTATTTGAAAGAAAGATTGAGAAGGAAGGGAGGGAGAGAGAACTCCAGCAAGAAATCGATCCTACATGCACTCACTTCCCAAATGGCCTCGGCAGTCAGCGCTGGGCCAGCCTGAAGACAGGAGCTGTGAACTCCAGCCTCGTCTCCCACAAAGACCACAGGCATCCAAGTGCTTGTGCCATCTTCAGCTGCTGTCTTCCCAAGCCATTAGCAGGGAGCCGATTTGGGAGCAGAGCAACCAGGGTTTGAACTGCACTCCCAAAGAGGGTGCTGGCCTTGTAGGTGACAGCTTAACATGCAGCCCAGCCCAGAGGTGCAGCCCTTCAATTGTGTGTCTGTTTATTGGTCTTCAGAGTCATTTCCTTTTTCAAAACCGTCACGAACATTGCTGTATACTCTCCTGAGTTTTTCAGTAGTTGTCAGACCCCTCAGCTTGCTGTCTCCTTGAGCTTTGCTCCAGCTGCTCTACCAGGCGTTGACAGCTTTGCTTGGCCATTCACTCGTTTTGAGCCTTTAGGCTATTGATTTCTTTCTTAAATATTACATATAGCCAGGCTTTAATCTTAAGGCTCAATATTTGAAACAAGGGCATAGCGTGTCTACCATCTTTTAACTTGGCCAAAGCAACAGTTTTTGGAGCAAACTTAATTCAGGACCTGTGGGTCCTTGCATTCCCACTTACCTCCTGATTTGGGTTCAGCTGACTTTCTCTATTCTGTCCTGTATTTATTTCCTTGCTAACAACTGCACACAAAAAAGGACCTCAAAAAGGTAATAGAAAATGGCATTAAAAGCTAAGTTTACTATGGTATGAAAAATTATTAAAATTCATACTTACATGGGGCTTCAAAAAAATGAAGATGTATTTTTTAAAAATTATGAATAGATTTTAAATCTTTTACACAAAATAAACTTTTCATTCTGCCTTTCTACAAACTTGAATATATACATACTTATATATTTACAAAAATAGAGGCAAAGAAGATCAAAGAGCGCTCCCATCTGCTGGTTTAGGAATGGGCCCGGAGCCAAGAACTCGGTCAAGGTCTTCCAGCGAGTGGCAGGAGTCCAATTCCTTGAGCTGTCACAGCTGCATCCCAGGCTCTGCATGGTTGTGAAGAGATGCATTCACTAGCCAGAGCTGACTCGGCCTGGGGGGCAAGTGTCTTAGTGTCATGACTGTTCTACTAAACGCTCCTCCTCCCACGCTCTTGGCGAAGGACACTGCCCCGAGTGTTAGGGCAGGGGAAAGGGACATGGAGACCAGTGCTTGGACGCTATCTGCGGTGGAGGGCCAGGGTTTCATTGTTGTTTCCATTGCCACATTATTAAGGTTACTTTTGTAAAATAGAATAAAAAAAGAATGACTCAAAATGAAAATGTACAATGTAAACCCTAGTTTATTGCATTCTTTTTCATTGGCAGTATCTATTATAGTCAAATGCTTTAAAATGATCAGATGCTATACAAGTTCTTAGATGCTTGCCCTGAAGTTCTGCACATCTCTTTGTGGGCTGGTACCTCTTGAGAAAAGGGCTGACTGAAAGATGGGATATGACATGAAAGGTCTGGGGTGGATGGTGGGGTGAGATTTTGAAGGAGAGGGCCACGGTACTGAGAATATGGAGGTCGTGCAAAGCTACAGAGACCCTAAGGACAACCTTTGGCTTTTCCTGTAGCAGAGTGGCAGTCTGGCCTTTCTTGTCCAATAGGATATTTCCCCTACACACACTGCATACCACAATCCAGTTATTATTAACACTAACTTTTAAAAAAGATTCATGTATTTATTTGAAAGTCCAAATTGTAGAGAGGGCAAGAAATCCATTGGCTGCTTCATTGCCCAGATGGCTGCATTGGCTGGACTGGGCCAGGCGAAAGCCAGCAGCCAGGTCTCCTATGTGGGTGCAGGGGCCCAGACACTTGGACCATCTTCTGATGTTTTTCCCAGGTCATTAACAGGGAGCTGGGTTGGAAGTGGAGCAGTAAGGCCATGAACTGGCACCCATATTGGATGCGGGCATGCAAGTTGCAGCCTTATCCACAAGCCACAATGCTGGCCTCTATTACCATTTGTCTTTTACAAAATGTTGGGAGAGCTGAACTTTCCTGAGCAATGAAGTTGATGTGCATGTAGGCAGTGCCCAGCCAGGACTTTGAACTTGGTCATAGGGGAAGACCAAACTTTGCTGTCCTCCTCCGCCTGCCTATAGCCCTTGGCTCCAGAGTACACTGTTGCTTCCCTTTGCAAAGGGAGGAATTGCTAGGGAAGTATATTCCTATCTGGACAATGGAGGAGCATCAGTTGCTGGGTGGTGGACTTCTCTTGGGTTCAGAAGCGGTATACAACTCATTAGACAGCCAAGTGCTGCCTGGGAAGCCGTTCGCTTGTGGTCACAGCACTTAGCAGTGGAAAGCCGCCTGTTGACCAGGCTCCCAAGAGTTATTCTAGCCTCCGAGACGTCAGACTGTGTTGTCAAAGCTTGGAGTGGTGTCTGTGAGCACGAGAAGGATGCAGGTGGTGACTTCCTCTTACTCCCCAAATGACTACAACACCCAGAGCTGGGCTGATCTGAAGCTGGAATCAGCTTTTTTTGGGTCTCCTATATGGGTGCAGGGACCCAAGGACTTTGGCCATCCTGCTTTCCCAGGCCATAATCTGGGAGCTGGACTTGAAGTGGAGCAGTCAGGACATGAACTGTTGCCCTTATATGGAACACCAGCACCATAGGTGGACGGTTAATTTGCTGTATCACCATGCTGGGTCCCATCACTTACCTGTCTGTCTGTATTTATTTATTTATAGAAAGAGTAGCAGAGAAGCCAGGGTCCTGGAAATCTCAGTCTCGCATGTGGGTGGCAGAGGCCCCATTTGAGCCATCTTCTGCTACTTCCCCAGGAATGAATGCATGAACTTAGAAGTGGAATAGCTGGAATTCAAACCAGTGCTCTGATATGGAATGTTGGCCTCCACCAGTAAAGGCTGAACTTACAGCACCACAGTGTCCATCCCAGAGCTTTTCATTAAATCAAAGAAAGAGAATTTAAGATCAGGCAGTCAGAGATGGTGTTGTGGCACAGCCTGTTAAGCCATCTTCTGCAACAGCAGTGTCCCGTATGAACGTCCAACTGCTCCATTTGTTTTCAGATTAATTGTCTCTAGTGAGGAAAGGGGTGCATTTCATGCTTTGAACACTCACGATGGTCCCACCTTGGCATTCGTACGTCTCGGGATGCCAGCAGGTGGGCCGCGGAGGGAGTGTGCTGCTGTCTCCGGCGGTGAAGGGGACAAGAGTATTTCCTTATTTTATTCTCCTTTCTTTGGTATATGTGGGCCAAGATTATACCAAAATTTCATCGATTTCATTATATTAGTTTCATGAAAAGTGATTTAATTTTGATTTGTTTTACCATGAGTCTTCAGTAATATTTTTATTTCTTTGTGATGGGGAGACCTTTCTTTTCAAGATTTATTTACTTGAAAGGCAGTTAGAAGGAGAATCTTCCACCCACTGGTTCACTCTGCAAATGGCCACAACGGCCAGAAGTGGGCCAGGCCAAAGCCAGGAGCCTGGAGCTTCACTTGGGTCTCCTGTATAGGTGACAGGAGCCCAAGCACTTGGACCATCTTCTGCTCCTTTCCCAGGCGTGCCAGCAAGGAGCTGCATTGGAAGTGGAGCGGTTAAGAACCAGAACTTGCATTGGATGTCGATGTTGCAGGTGGCAGCTTTACGTACTGTGCCAAAAACCTGGTGCTGAGTGGCTATTCTTTATGCCAGTCTCTTTCTGGGATTATTTTTTGTAAGATTTATTTTATTTTTTTATTGGAAAGTCAGATATACAGAGGAGGAGAGACGGAGAGGAAGATCTTCCGTCTGATGATTCATTTCCCAAGTGACCGCAACGGCCGGTGGTATGCCAATCTGAAGCCAGGAGCCAAGAACAACTTCCGGGTGTCCCTCACGGGTGCAGGGTCCCAAGGCTTTGGGCTGTCCTCGACTGCTTTTCCGGGCCACAAGCAGGGAGCAGGATGTAAAGTGGAGCTGCCAGGATTAGAACCGGCGCCCATATGAGATCCTGGCGTGTTCAAGACAAGGACTTTAGCCACTACGCTATGCTGCCAGGCCCGACCAGGATTATTTTTATATAGGTTAGCCTTTTTGTATTCCACCCCTTACCCCATATGTAAAGCCAGTGTAATGTAAGCCTTTTCAGAACTGTAGTGCATACCCTCCCTAAAGCACATGCCCACAGTGGACCCCAGGTCCTGCCCTTGGCAGTGACGCTGGATTCCCAAGGGGGTGATCCCGTGAGCCACACACGTTCTTCACAGGGAATCTGATTTATTTCTCTCTCTCTCTCTCTCTCTCTCTCTCTCTCTCTCTCTCTCACACACACACACACACACACCTGTGAGGTGTCCATGTAACTGTGGTTCTCAGGTGTGGTTATACTCTTTTGAATTCAACAGCAGTTTTATTGTAGTCACATCCCACACAATTCTCCCGCTTAAATTATACAGTGCAGTTTTTTAATTTAAAAAATTTGCTGTCCTCACCGTAGTCGATTTAGAACATCCCCTTCATCCTTCTTAGCCACCAGTCCTTACGCCCCGCCCACCGTCCCTCCTTCTTGTGTTCTGGCGCTGTGGACCTGTCTGCTCTCAGCAGTTCATAGACGTGTGTTGTGACTGGTGTCTCTGGCCTCCCACCCGTTTCACGTCCTTAATGTTGTTGCACGAAGCATTGCATTGTGTGGGTAGACCGGGTTTCCTTGCTCTGTTCTTCAGTTGCCAGTCCTTTAGGGAGGCTTCTGTTTGTTGGCATTGTGAGTGGGGATGCTGCGAGCCTCCCTGTGCCAGCTGAGGGTTTAGTCTGGATTTTTAACCCTTGTCACTTGGGCTGCTGCACAGTTTTATCTCCTGATAGTATCCACACATGATTATATTTACTTTTTTAAAGATATATTTAATCTGAAAGAACTACAGAGAGAAAGGGAGAAAGAGACAGAGGTGTTTCACCTGCTGGTTCACTTTGCAGATGGCTGTAGTGGTCAGGACTGGGTCAAGGCAAAGCCAGGAGCTTCTTCCATATCTTCTCCATGGGAGCCGGCAGCCCAAGTACTTGGGCTGTTCTTCACTGCTTTGCCCAGGCAGCTGGCAGGGAGCTGGGTCAGAAGTAGGCAGTGGGGCTTGAGCTGGCACTCATGTTGGGTGCTGGTATCACAGGTGCTGTGCCACAGTGCCAGCCCCCATGTTTAGGCAGCTGGGTCAGTTTTAGGGACAGCTTCAGATGGTTTTCTCTGTTTTCCGCTCCTGACTGTGTGTGTGTTTAGTGCTGATGTGTGCATTCACATTTACCCGTTGAGTTATGAACAGCTGAAAAACGAAAACTTTGAATGTATGGAGATTCAGTCTCATTCTTCCCATGTGCGAGTATTTGCTCTACGGTGGGCACCGTACTCAGCAATAGGGATAAAGTGACAGAACAGGCTGGGCCTGTGCCCTCAAAGCCCTCTTCATGCAGCTCCACTGCCAGAGGAAGGCAGCTGGGAGTCGTGAGTGAGGCCAGCGGGACCTGGGACAGCACTGCTGGCGATGCAGTGGGGGACTCGGGCCCTCCTTACAATGGGCGGTGGAGACGCCAAGAAGCCTCCAGGCACAAGTTCATGACCAGGCTGGGATTGAAAGGTGCACTCGTGTATAAATGAGAGAGACCATAAGGAAGCGTGGAGAAGGAAGAGAAAGGGGAGTGTTCAGCTGTTGGTGGAATTGAAAGTGACATTGTAGGTGAGGTGCAGCGAAAAGCAGGGCTGGAAAGAGTCGGGAGACAGCCGGGTTCCTGGGAAACCTGCCCCAAGGAGGGATACCCTTGGTCAGAGTCCAGGGACAAGTCTGCAGTTTGGCACTTGGGGGATGTGTGGGTCAAGGGTGGGATCCTGTTTGCTCTGCCATGGGTGGTTAGGGTCATCTCTCCCGGTGGTGGGCAGTCTGAGGAGGGACTAGGAAGAGCATGAGCTGAGCAGGTGGCTTAGAAGAGCTGTTGAGAAAGGTCAGTGTTTGGAACGTGTGTCATCTGACATTGTGGAGGGGCTCCAGGGGCGGGGCGAACTGATGCTCTCGGGTTTGACCTTCCATGCCTCTGCCTGAATTCACCTCAATTGCACTGAAAATATGAACGCATTAAAGCAGAGAACAAACTGCCGAAACCAGCGCTGGATGGTGGATCGGCAGCAGTCATCGCTGTCACTGCAGCTGAGAGCTGGCGGCTCCCTTGTTGGTTACTTATTTTCTGAAATCGAAAGCCTAGAAATAAAACTGATCATTGCAGGGAACAATCATGGAGTTGTGCCTGGGGTGTGGACATCGGGTTGGGGCGGGATTTATCTGAGCTTTGGTCTTGCATCCCTTGGGAGACTCTAGGATCTCAGGTCCTAGAGACAGAAAGGGGATAAACACAGGGTGAGGTGCTTGGGGGCCTGAGCAGTTGTGTAATGAGGGACTGAGGCTGGAGGGGCTGGGCTCGGTCAGAGGGCTGGAGAGGGGTACAGAGTCAGACCCCAAGCCCGTGGTCTTCCTGGTCTAGCTTGGCATCATGCAAGTGAGGTGCTGGGGCCCCGGGCAGAGGTGGGAGCATGTGATATACACAAGGGCTTGGGCAGAGGGGCTTGGCAGCAGCAACCCAAGTTCACATGTGTTAAGCACCCCTGAGAACCTCCGTGTGGTTATCTGTGTGTGTATCAGGCAGTGGGTGAGACACCCCATGTGCCAGTCAAGGTGCCTGGCTGTGCCAAGGCCACCGTGCCAGGCCTGGCAGGTACTTGGAGAGGTCGTTTAGTTCGCGTTATGTCCAGCCAGGATTTCCTTCCACTTTGTTTGCAGAGAGGGGGAAGATCCCATGGGGGTGGGGGAGAGCAGTCTGGGTGTCAGAGCAGTGCGCTCTCTGATGCGACCACCTCTCTGGAGAGCGTAGGTGGCCTGATGGCCGATGTGGGACCGCACTCTGCTTTCCTCCCAGCAATGACATGGGGCTGTCATTTGTGCAGGTATGTGTTCTCTGGCTGCCGCCACGCAGGAGGCCGAGAGCGGCCGGAAGCTGACTCACCTGCTGAATGCCGTGACCGATGCACTGGTCTGGGTGATCGCCAAGAGCGGCATCTCGGCCCAGCAGCAGTCCGTCCGCCTGGCCAACCTCCTGATGCTCCTCTCCCACGTCAGGCACGCCAGGTATGGGCCGAGGGCCATGCTTGGGGACAAGGGCAGGGCCTGCTTGGGTGGGGAAGCAGGTTTCATGTGGAGTGAGGAAGAATTGATACTTTCAAGACAGTGAAACTCAGAGGATGGGGTGGGTCATTGTGCATCTGCTTGTCATCAGCGAGCCATGTGCAGTGGGCGTGGCCTCTGCATCCCATGTTCCTTACCGGGTCTTTGTAGCACTCTTTGGGGGCTCATCTGATTTTGGTTGTAGGGGCACAGAGCTTATTTCTGAAGTTTCCCAGGGGACAGTTCTTCCTGCACAGCAATGTGCAGCCACTCTCCTGAGTACACCAGCCAGGGCAGAGGCACTGGGTCATTTCCAGGAACCCATTTTCTGTGGTTCTCTGGGCAGGTGATTGAGGGGAAATTGCCCAGCCTTCCCAGAGTGTTCATTTCTTGCTCTGACACCAGGATGTTAAGGATAAGCCAAAGAGGAAGCAGGCTCAGGGCAGTAAGACCAGGGCGGGAATGGCATGTGGGCAAGAGGTTACACAGGCACTCCGTGCCCTGGGCTGGACGACTGGCCATGAGGGCTGGGACAGTGCTGCCCTGGTGGACCCTCACACAGGGAGAGGGAGGCTCGCTGCCCCCTCGGTCCCTCCCATGATTCATCTGCACGCAACACCCTGCAGAGTGGGACATATCCTTCACATACCTACTTTGTGTCATGTGTTTCTATTTTTCTGGGTGATCTCTCTGTTTAAAACGGCGTCCCAGCACTGTGCCTGCGTTCCTTGGTATACAGAAACTGTGAAAATGCTCCTTAGAGAAGCTTTGTTCAGCCTTGAGTCTCAGTGTCGTGAGTTCGAGGCCAGTGAATTCACAGTGTGTATTACACCAGCTATCTTCGAACGCAAACACATAGGAAACAAGGTTATGTGTTGACTGGCAGATGAAAATGTAGCTGGAAATCTGGCAGGAGCAGCGGTTCAGTTCTCACTAACTCGGCATTACTTTATAATGACAACCGTAAATAAGGGTTCAGTTATCCTATGTTCCAGATGCTATGTCAACCATGGTGGCCTGTGTGAGGCTGTGGACACAAGGCTGGCAGGATACTGTCCTTGTCCTCAACTGTAGATTACTGAGGGAGCTGGATGAAGGACCCTGAAAGGATGGGCTGGGACTGCGTGGGGGGCGTGGCCTGGTTTGTGTGGCAGAGCTAGGCATGTCAGCCTTCCCCTGGCCGCCTCCCGGGACTGACTCCCGTTGTGTTTCTGTCCCCATAGTAACAAAGGCATGGAACACCTGCTCAGCATGAAGTGCAAGAACGTGGTCCCGGTGTACGACCTGCTGCTGGAGATGCTGAATGCCCACACGCTCCGCGGGCACAAATCTGTAGCCATGGTGCCCGAGGGCAGCCCAGTTGAGGACAGCAAGAATTCCGAGGGCTCCCAGGGCCCGGAGGCTCCGTGATGCCCAGCTTGAGGGTGAGAGGGCCCACAGAGGACACTGGAAGTGTGGACGCCAGCAGGTTGTGAGTTTGGGCTTCGTCCTTGCTGCTGTGTGGGCCCTCATGTGGCTGTGCGTGGCCCTGTGTTGTCTTCCTCTTGCCCACTCCGCAGGAACCAGGGCAAGAATGCTACAGCTGTGTTTCCTTTTTTTTAAACCCAAGGGTTGCAGCTAAAGGCAGTTTCCACCTTGCATGGCCTCTTAGCATCTGCACATAGACCCTTGCTTCCTTCCAGTCCTTTGGGAAGCAAAGGTTTTGGAGCAGATGGGCCATCTGACCTGAAAGGGGTGCTTGGTGGAAAGGGCAGAGGATGTGGTATGTCGCCAAAGTGGGCCAGCCCTTAGTGTATGCCCTGCCCTCTGCTTAGGTGTGGCTGCTGTTTCCTTATCAACCCTTTGGTTGTAGGCCTGAATTGACAATCAAATAACTGCTCTGACATGTCCATCTTCATGGCTCAAGGGACTGATGCTATTGTTAGCACCTTGCCCACTGAAGACCAGAAGGACTGTGGCCAGGCTGGGATGTGGGCCCTCCCCCAAATTCCTGCTGTCTTCTTCTTGTGGATCTGTCTCTCTTGATTTGCATTCATTGCTGCTGGTTCTTTAGGGGGTAGGTGAGCCTGTGTGTGGTCACTTTCCTGGAGGATCATGGGAAACTTAAGTCTGTGTGTGCCTGAGGCTGCCCTGCCTTAAACGTCTATTGTCCCAAGGGCCTGGTGTGTGTGTGTGCTGGAGAAAGCCCATGCGTCTGTGTGATAGGACTTCTGTAGCTGTGGGCGGCTGCCATACCTTCCCTGGGGTGTCACGAACACAGTGTCCAGTTTGTATGACCTTGTAAGTAGTAGCCACAGCACATCAAGCCACTTAGCGGACACAGTGACATCCTGGGCTGTGGAAGCCCGGACGGAGCGCCTTTGGGGTTGTGTCGTGTGGAACTGATGGGCATACCACTTGAACTTGACCCGGTTTGTCAGTCTCCTTAAACAAGGTGGGGATAAAGAATTCTTTATACCATTGGGAGCTGTTAAAATACTTTTCTCAGCAGACTTATGTAGTGGACTGGGTGAAATAGAAACTTAGTGAAGAAGCTGTTTCTTACTGAAAGTGCAAAAGAAATAGGACAGGGAGACAATGTACCTTAGAATCGACCATTTTAATTTGCCTTTTGAAAATTGAACATTCAGACACATTTTTGAGAACATGGAAAATACATAAAACTTAGCAACTGCTCTACTTTGGAAGTGAACAGTTATTATGTTCGGTTTTGTGGTAACCTTTTCAGGAGTTAAGTACATTTTTTCTTCTTTTTTTTTTTTTAAGATAGGTTTAGTTTGGCTAGTCCATCTTGTTTTTACTAAGCCATTAGGAAGATAACATTTAAGGTCATGAAGGTTGGTTTCTACTGATGAAACCTTGAGTAATTCTTCGTTTTTATTCTGGTATGTGGACTAAAAGTTGAGCTAGCTATGTCAGAGGCACTTGGACCTGTCCTGGAGAACACACTGATGTCTGTATGCTGAGGCTGAAATGAGACTCTGACTCCATGTTTCAGCATTAGCAGGACTCTGCACAGGAAGGAGACGCTGGGTTTCATGGGAGCCAGACTTGTCCAGAGTTGTGGGTTCCTTGAGGCTAGTCTTGAATTCTGGAATGGGGGCTGGGAAGCTGGGTGGTAGGAAGTGGCAGGCGAAACAGCCTTGAGCAAGGATTGGCCAGTGAAATTCACAGAAGGCTCAGTCCATAGTTGGAGCCATTGCCTTATTAGAATGCCATATAGTGAATTATTTCTTTTTTAAGATTGTATTGTCATACCCAAGGAAGATTCCAGACTGAACTTGAGTTGGAGGGCAGCCAGGGGTTGTTAGATCTTGCAGGTTTCTTGGATCACTGTGGATCTTTCTTTCTTGGTGTAGGCACTCCTTAGTGTGCCTGGATGCAGGTCAGTCCACCCCAAGGGCTTCCTCAGTTCAGGGATGTCTGTTACTAGGATGGGACCTCCCATTTGCTGATTCACTCTAGTGTCCACAACAGCCCTAGGTGGGGGTGGGAGTGGGATAAAGTTGGGGCCTGGGAACTCAATCTGGGTCTCTGACATAGGTGGCAGGAGCCCAGTTATTCCTGCATCACTGTGGCTTCCCAGGGCCTGTGTTAGCAGGACTCTGGATTGGGAAAAGGAGCCAGGATCCAGGTACCCTGAGAAGGATGCAGAACTGTTAGCTGCTAGGCCAGACACCTGCTCCAAGGCTGTTTCCTCTGGGATCAGGAGTGAGCCCATGGTTGAAAACATGATCTGTGTTCTCATGGCGACTTCTGTTCCAGCTATTCCAGGACCCTTCCTTCCCCTCCAGGGAAGGCACCCCTTAAGGGTGACATCGTGTGTGTGTCAGGTTAATCCTAAATGTTCATATGTCAGGTTAGTCTCTAATAGTGATTTATTCTAAATGCTTTTCTGGGGAGAGGTAAGGGTGGTACCCACTCTCCCAAATAGTCCACGTTCTGTAGGGCAACTTAGCTAAGTAGAAATTTCACTGCTTTGAGTTTGGTTTTTAAAAGGGATTAATGAGGGAAAATAGGACAGACAACTGTAAAGAGGAATTAAGTTGGACATTGAAACAAAAATCCACTTTTGTGTACAAAGTAAAAGTAATCCTCAGCTGTGTCTTAAGACTATCTAAGTCTTAGATCCCTTTGTTCTAATTTGTAAGTGACCACTTAATAAGGTCAACTAGGGTTGGCCTTGTTGCCAGGGTTAAGCTGTGCATCGGATACCTGTGGCATATTAGAGTGCCAAGTCCCGGCTACTGCACGCTTCTGATCCAGCTTCCTGCTAATGTCCCTGGGAGGCAGGAGATGATGGCTCAAGTATTTGGGTCCTTCCTTCCCCGTATGGAAGACCAGATTAGAGTTCTTGGCTACTGACTTTGGCCTGGCCTAGCCCTGGTGATTGTGGGCTTTTGGGGACTGAACCAGCAGATGGAAGTCCTCTCTGTGTCACTTTGTATTATTCTGGTTTGCAAGTGGGATGAACATAAACATTGAGGAAAAAAACATCTATTTGTAGATGAATGCATTTAGGGATTAACTCTGAAATAATGAGTGTCTAATATGGCATCATGCAGACAAATTTTAATAGTAATCAAATAGTTACCATGGAATATTGTTAATGCAGAGTTCTCTCAGATGTCTGGCCATGAACTGGCTCTCCTAGTGAGTTCTGATCCAATCCAGTCCCCCTGTTCTCTGAACCACCTGTCTGGCCCCTGTCCACCAGGACTGACTACAAAGGATCTACCCCAGAAATAATCTCAAAGAGATTTTTCATGAAAGATTGAGATAGTTAATAATGCAACACAGAGCTTTTGGCCTAATGACAGATTTGGGGAGTTTTAACCACATTAAAAACAAAACAGTGCAAAATCAGCCAAAGCCTTGCAGGAAGTTCATTTTATCTGGGCTATTTGCTCTCTGAAGTCAGCTGGAAGGCCAATTATTTAGAACTTAGTAAGAAAATATCAGCTACCAACTCTTGGCAGTGCCATTTTAAGATTCATATATATTTTATGTTTATTAATAAGCTTAAGTAATTTTAGAATAATCTAGCATGTGAAAATGGGGTTTTGATCTTACATCTTGCATATGTTGACCTCTTTTTAAATTCCAGGTGAACCTTTAGTCTTTAGGTTTATTTTGAAGCAGAGTACTTTTATTTAAGGAGATCAGACACATTTAATCTGGTAAAAATCTTTTAGAAAACGTAAAGATTACATAGAGAAAATGAGAGAATTTAGTACCGAGGAAACCCTGTCAGTACCACATTCAAGTCTCGTCCTGGGAGCAGTCCTTATATACTTTGCTGATGCTTAGGACGGTCCCCGCAGAGTTGCTCAACAAGGGTAGGAAGTGTCCGTGCAGTGCAACTCGCTCAAAAGTTACTGAAGGAAACCAGGCTCACCCTGCAGCCTCCATTCATCACGGACGACCCAACATGTGTGGCAGCTGTGGCTACCCTGGGGCCTATGTGCAGGCATAGTAACAGCTCATCTACCTTGAATGGAGAAGTTCAATTCCATCTTTCATGCACGTGTAGATGAAAGCCCAGAATTTGCAAAGGGCACTGCTTGGGTTTGTAAGCCACACTGGCCAAGGGGACCTGGAGGCGGGGGCTTGTCTTCTGCCTGCCTGGCCAGCAGCACTGTCCCTGCTGCGGCTTGGTTCTGTGTGATCGGCTCTCTGACCGGCCTCAGTGTAACGGTGACAGGGTTGTGACTGCCGCCTTCTCGGCCTCAGTGAGGTCTGCATGAACCCTGACAGGGCAGCGCTAATGATAGAAGATGGATTGTAGTGCTCTGTGTTCCCACTTGGGCCAGTAACCCAGTGGGTGCCCCCCATTTGTTACGACCTGCTGCTACTGTCCCACTTGCATTGGCTTCCTTGCAAACTTACCATGTAAAACTTGCGTCTTTTCAACAGTGCTGCTCTTTGGCGGAGTGTGGTAGGCTGCTCTGTGAGATACATGTCATTGGTTACTGCTCTCAGAGCCACTGGAATTTTGGCTCAATGGCAGCTCTAAGGTTTGCATCATCTCTCTGATAAGGTGATCATCTTCTCACCCTTTCATTGAAATCTGGCGTCTGATTTTTGTTTTTAATCTCAAGAACCGTATTCACTCGTGTGGGTGCCCACTGTTACTTGATGAGCAAAGGTTGAGGGACACTGGCCCAGAATGGATTCTGTTAACAGATCATTGCTGTTGCAGTTGCTTTTCTGGGTTGCAGTCCCAGTGGCATGGCTGTCAGTCCCATAACTGTT